ACACAATGTGGACAAAGGGCTCTGGTTAGGGGAGGTTGGGCTGTTAGAGCCATCCCTGGTCTTTGCTGGCTGCTCCGAGTCCCCTTAGAAAGAGCATCCCTCTCTGTGTGTAAGAAGTCTCCTTGAATGCAAAACACTTGTCTATCAGGGGGAAAGGATAGGCTATAAGGGTCATGAAATGAACTTCTCATTGCAAATTTCCTGTAAAATATTAAGGATTATCTGTTCCACACTAGGACTTCATACCCCAACATGACTGCTAATCCCAGCCATAACAGCTTCCTGGTGCCCCTACCCCAACACTTATGCAAAGAGCTTGTATTTGTTCCCAATCACCACTCAACCCCTCTTTGGAAAAGGCTACTGAGACCAGATAGGCCAAGTAGTAAGGCTGGGGTCATATAGGAACCAGGCTTGGATACAGCTTAGAGGCTCTACTTCCTAAATTCTCCTTACCCATAAGGTCTCAGACCATCTTCACAGACAAGACAGCATAAACTATCCTGAATCACTACCCCCCAATGCAATGTTCTTTTGCAAGTTCTCTATTGCCAAGTTACAACCCCACTGCAATGGTTTTTTTTGAAAGAGAAGGAAAGAGGGAGCACACACAAGTAAGAGAAACAGAGAGACAGAGAGACATAGACAGAGAAACAGAGACAGAGAGACTGAAAGAGGGAAAAATAATCCATCCACTTTACCCCAGTTCTCACAGTTGAACCACCAGCAGGTAAGTCCTTGCATATAAGAAAAGCAAAGGTAAAAAATAATATGCTCAAGCACTGCCATTTATCACAGCTGAAACAGCAATTAGTGAAACTGTATAACCTTACTGTCTGAAGATTTTGTATTTCACTTTCAGCAATGTTGACTTTCAGATGACATATGATTTGTATACCTAAAACAATGCCCTTGCAGCAGTAGAAATGGCTCAGCAGCAAAGAGCACTTACTAATGTGCAGAGCAACAAGATTTGATTCTCGGACCCAAGTAGTATCTCACAACTGCCTGTAACAAAGATCCCAAGGAATTCAAACCCTCCTCTGACCTCCTCAGGGAACTGCCCACACATGGTGCACATAAACCAATGCAAGCAAAAATATTTACATGTAATATAAATAATTTAAAAAACGAAACATTGCTCCAAGCTGTTGTCTTGAATCTGGGTTACACAGAGCCTCCAGGTCTTGGACTGGAAGACAGGACCTAACCAATGGTCTTGTTCACACTTGACTGGGATTTAATCCTTCTTTTTCAGTGAAATGTTTCTTGAGCATTTGCTAAAAGCTTTCAAAGAAGCCAGAAAGTGGACCTAGAATGACTTCTTAGGTGGATCTTGGGTCCTCTGAGATGCTAGATGTCGGAGTGTCTTGCTTTTTCCATCTTTTTCTCCACAGCTGGCACCTGAGCTGCAGTTGGGGACAAGTGTTTGTGGGAGGAAAGAAGGGTGAGAGAAAAGAAAGATGACGAGATGGAGAGAGGAAGGGAGATGGAGAGAGGGGAAGAAAGAATGACAGGCAGGGTGTGAGGAAGGAAAGGAGAGAGGAAAAGAAGGAAAAGAGAGAAGAGCTAATGAACAGAGGGAAGCAGAGAAAGGAGAAATGTAGCCAGAGACAATAGGGGTGAGGACAGCATGCCTGAGAGTGTCTACACTCAAAGTGAAGGCTGGACCCCACTGTCCCTGGGCTCTCCATATCACAACAGGGCTCTGCAAATTTATTACCCTTGGTTGTCTGTTTAGCTGCTGGCAATGGGAAGGCTCTGCTGGGAAACCCATGGCCATGGCCAGTTGGTTGAGCTCTTCTGCATACTTGTCTGACTCTCCAAGATTTGGCCTGTATTCTGTCTTTTGCCCTATGTCAGCTTCCAGGTCCCTCCTGGGGGACTGGACCTGCCTTTATGCATCTATCTGTTCCTTCCTCCATTTGTTCATCCTAGAGTATCTTGCACTGGAGCCATTAATCATTTTTATAACTGTCTGTCAGCTTCTACTTGAGGCTGAATGCTCTGTTCAAGTCAACAATGAAGATTTCAAGTTCTTGTCCCTGTAATGGGATACCTCCTAGACAGTCAATGAAGCCCAGTAGTCAGCTCACCACTGATATGAGCTCACTAGCCTCTTCAGCACCAAGTCTTCTTGGAGAAGGAGCTGAGTGATGGGGAAGGGTCATTGACTAGAGGGAAACATCCAGGCAGAAAGACAAATGATGTATAAGCTTGCTCACAGGTGAGATCTGAAAACAAAAAATTTCCCATAAACACAGAACTATATGGTGGTCACGAGGTCAGAGGAAAAAGTGATGGTCACTATAGCATTTACCTAAACTGTTCTAGTATTAATTAAAACTTGGAAGTCAGAAATTGAGATAAAAACCTGATGAATCCAAGGAACAGTGGAGGGCTGATAAAAAAAAAAACTCTCTATGTTTTTCCCATCCAAAAACCCCTGGAATGCCACCCCCCAGTCCCTCAGTCTATCTTCCTGTCCCTCTCTACTCAACTTCCTCAGTCTTCAGCAACTCTATGGCTAATCTCAGTCAGCTAATTGCTAACTCTATCCTTGATTCAAGATGGCTTTATTGGCACAGTAGGGTGGCAGTGCAAACAATTCTCCCTTTTTGTCCAAATAGAAAGGAAGGGTTTTTTTTTATTTTACAACACCATTCAGTTCAACATAATAGCCACAGATTCCCCTGTTCTCCCCCTCTCTCCCCCTTCCCCCTCCCCCCAGCCCACCCCCCATTCCC